CTGTGCCTGCCACCAGGGGATATAAAAACGCAGCCAGAAATTCCCCTCGCGCGGTTTCATTAGCTCAATACGTGAGTTATTGAACCCGTCCGCAAGCTTCTCAATAAAGCCTGCTTCTAAAACTTTACCAATTGGATCTTTAACTCCGCTTCGCGCCCCCAAAACCCTTACAAGTTCCTTCTGCCTGGGCGGCATTTCTTTGACACACAGGACGGCCTCCCCCGGTGTCAACCTCAGGGAGTCCCAGTATCCGTGTCAGAACCTAACTTCAGCCCCTTCATTCAAATGCATCGCTTCTTCTGAAAGGTAGCCCAGTCGGTCACAATAGGCTGTTGTCCACATCAAAACCCTGTCGGTCACAATAGGCTGTTGTCCACATCAAGGCTGGGAGATGGCCACCTGCGTCGGAAGGCGCCCACTTATACCCACAGTGGCTACATCCGTGGGTTCATCCGCGGTGATGATGGGGCCTGGACCAAGCAACGTCTCATGCCGTGCGTGGTTCGCGGGGTCACCCTGGGGCTGGGGCTGGCTCTGTGATAACTAACAACCACCTTCTAGAGGGGCCAGGACTGAACCCCAGTGTAGGCAGCAGGATGGGTGGGAGCGGGCCCCATGGAGTCCCCAGGCTCAGGGAGACTGCTCCAGGAAAGGAAGGACCAGCCGAAGGCAAGCCTGGTGAAGCTGCAGCAGGAGCGCTCCCGGGAAAAGTCCACTGGGAAGGCACGCTCTCCACGGAGGCAGATTTGCACCAACAACATGAGCTGAGGCGGGGGAGGGGGGGGGGCACGGCAGATGGAGAGACGCGGCCTGCCTGACAAACCACGCTGGACCAGTTGCTATCCGGTTGAGCCCTATGCCAGTGTGGCGCGCTCTGCCACTCCACGGGGTTTCCAATGGCTGAGTTTGGGGGAGCGGGCCGCCAGGCCTTTCTTCCGAGGCACCTCAGGATGGACTCTCACCTCCGGCTCTTCACTTAGCAGCACCATCAGCAGCACGCTCGTGGTAAATTCTAGGGGTTGTTAACGTGCGATGTCCCCATCTTCCTGGATGTCCAGAGGTTTGCGAAATGCTGGGAGCTAACAGCTGCCTCCTGATGGCATTCCAAGGGATGTTCTTAAAGGAAGGGCAGCAGACACAGCAGGCCCCCTGCTGAGGAAGCACAGTTGCCTCCCTGGGCTTGCCCAGAAAGCGAAAACGAATCTGACCAAGGGTTTATAGAAAGTTCAGAAGGAACTGGAGCTTACAGGAAGTCCAGGGGAACTTAATCAGCAAGGACAGCAGACAAAGTCTAGTGGACACACACCCTGGCTTCCTTAGTAGGTGTGCAAATGTGGACAGGGAGGGAGGAAGAAAGCCGAGGAGGGTGTGGTAGACCAGGCTTTGTGTCAACTTGGCTGGGCCTGGGTTCTCAGGGGTTGGGCAGTTAAGAGGTAGTCATTTCCCACGATGCAATCTAATTGTAACCATGTCCATGAAAGGATCCGCTACAAGCAGTCAATCAATTGAAAAGACATTCCCTTGGGGATGTGGCCTGCTTCCGGTATATGTGGATGCTGTAGCAAAGCTTGCTTGCTTTTGACTGGGTTTGGAGTTGAGCCATCAAC